CCCTGTCCCCTCGACAATCCCCCCCCCCCCCCCATCCAACCTCCCAGCCCCGGTCCCCTTACTATACCGCTCAGAGCAGCATGTCTGGCAGCCGTGCCACCCGGCCAGAGCTAGACACGCTGCCACTCTGCTCGGCAGGAGCGCGCAACCCTGCCACCCAGAGTGCTGCCCGCACGGCAGTGTGGCTGCAGGGGAGAGGGGAGAGCAGGGGAGGGGCTGGGGGCTAACCTCCCCGGTCGGGAGCTCAAGGGCCAGGCAGGATGGTCCCGCAGACCAAATGTGGCCCGTGGGCCGTAGTTTGCCCACCTCTGCCCTAGAAGCACAGATAAAATGCCTTTAGCATTAGTGCAGAGGAGAATCCTACTTGGTGCAGGGTGTTGGGCTGAGTAACCCAAGAGGCCTCTTCCAACCCTGTCATTTATGATTATATGGTGCAGCTGCTGACCAGTTTGACTGGTGAGGTACTTGTAATTGTTTGTATGCTATAAGACTGGTGGTGTGAGGTAGTGAATTGAGTGCAGTATGAGAGAAGCAAAGAACAAGTGACTCGTTCACAAAATACTATTGAATCTAACAATAGGTTTCAAAAATACAAGCGAAAAGGCCAGAGTTGGCCACAAGGTGGAACAGACTAATTTCTCCACAGCTCTTGCAATCATAACTTATTTTGGCCCAATCTTGTGAAATGCTGAGCGCTTTCAATTCACTGGTAAGACCTCATTTGGAATAATGTGTACAATTTTGGTCAGCCATGTTCAAGAAAGACACAATTGGAACAGGTGCAGAGAAGAGCTAGTAGGATGATTAGGGGAAGAGGATGGCCTATCCTATGAGATGAGGCTGGAAGAGCTTGGTTTGTTTAATCTAGCAAAATTAAGGCTGAGAGGGGATGTAATTGCTCTCTATAAATACAGTGGGGGGGGGGGGGGAGGAGACGGGAAATACCATGGGAGGGTGAATAACTGTTTAAGCTAAAGGACAACGTTGGCACAAAAACAAATGGATATAAACTGGCCATGAAGAAATTCTGTCTGGAAATTAGAAGAAGATTTCTAACCATCAGAGGAGTAAGGTTCTGGAACAGCCTCCCAATAGGAGTTGTGGAGGGAAACAATTTAACTAATTTAAAGAGAGCTGGACAAATTTATAAGTGTGATTGTATGGCGGAGTTGCTTGTGATGGTAGGGGGTAGGACTCAGTAGCCCAAGAGCTCACTTCCAGATTGTTTAATGTTCCTAAATGTTCATGATTCAAGGTTACAGCCGGCCACCTGCAGGGGTCAGGAAGAGATTCCCACTCCCCCACCATGCATGCATGTTTGTTTTTAAATCTCCTTCCTCTGAAGCATCAGGGTTGGCCACCGCTGGAGATAGGACATTGGTCAGGGTGTACCAGGGCTCTGAGGTAGCACCAAGCATTCTCTTTGGCTGGTTCTTGCTCACATGCTCAGTGTCTGATAGCCAAATGTGTAATCGGGAAAGAATTTTCTGCTAGGTCAGATTAGCAGTTACCTTGGCTTTAGGTTTTTTTTAATCTTCCTTTGCAGCATGAGGGTGCCAGGATTATCTGGATATATCTCACTTAATCATTTCCCAGCCATTATGGCGTCCTCAGGTACTGGTGCACCTCAGCCTATCCTACGAGAGGAGACTGGAAGAGCTTGGTTTGTTTAATGTAGCAAAATTAAGGCTGAAAGGGGATGTGATTGCTCTCTATAAATACATTGGGGGGGAGACGGGAAATACCATGGGAGGGTGAAGAGCTGTTTAAGCTATGGCAGAGAAAAGTCTAGTCTTCTGTGGGCTGTAATACATTGGTCTAAAATCTGTTGTGTTTCGTGTGTGGGTGCTGGGGGGTGTTGGTGGTATGTGATACCAGAAGGTCAAACTAGGTGATCTGGTGGTCCCCTTCTGGCTGTAAACTATGAGACCGACTCCGTGACACTTATTTTTATTTAAAAAAAAACAATGAAGCTTCCAAATAGTACACACAGCTAATATTTGCAGCTTTTGTTTCTGTACTGTGACATTTGTCTCCTCTCCCCCAGTTGTGTTGTGCCTCCTTGTCCTTATTTAGATTGTCAACTCTCTGGGAGTTTAGATATGAACAGGGCCAGGCAAATGAGACTCCAATCATGACTGGGTCTTGTG